CACATATGGAGGCCTTAGTCCTTGACGCAGCTGTCGCAGGTTTAATTCCTGGTCTTGGCGACCTTTGCTGCATTTCTTCCCCCTTCTTTCATTAACCACTTTCCTGTCAATTAACTATCAAATAAAGACCACTAGAGCCCCCCCCCCCAAAAAAAAGAATTATCTGATCATTTTTTCAAAATACGCTGAAACCCAAGACATGTTTCTCTTTTTTTTAAAACCCCCCCACAAACATAAGTCTGTGATGCATTTTACTGTCATCACCCTTTTATCACACAGCACACAGTCTTAAGTAATCTCCGCATCATCAACATACACACATCCGTTGTAGTGGTAATTGCGTAACAGCAGCTCCACAAGCTGGCAGGGCAGAGAAACGTTCAAGAGTATCAGGACCATGTACCTAAAAACATGCAAACATAAAAACCCCAAGTAGAGCATTCTGTACAATACAATGTTGTGTTTTCTGGCTTGATGTTTCTTTTTTTTTTTTTTTTTTTTTTGCAATTATTGATAAGTGAACTCTCATCAATTGATAAAAGGGTTTTGAATGCTTTACTACCAAAAGAAAAAAAAAACTGTTCAGTTGATTTTGGGAAAGGTCCTATTGTTATTTGTGAAGCAAAAACTAATAAAAACAATTGTTTGTCTGTAAAGTTTCAATTTTGACAATTTGTATTGAAAATGCTCACTTAGATGACACATATTAACAACATGTTAATATTTAAAAAGTTATAGTCACCATGACTGAGAAAACTTTTGAACATTTCTTGTGGTATTCTCTGAATACCAATAGAAAAGAAGCAGCAATGACCAAATGTACCTGCAACAAAAAGAGTCTAGTAAAGGCAACCAGATTGTCACATTGGAATAGAAAATAATCCAGCTAAATAATGAAGCTGACACAAATTATACATTAAATTAAATCCAATGGAAAAATATACAATGTGTAAGAAAGTTTTTTTTTTTTTTATATATATAAAAAGTATTTTGAAACTATAACTGGTTGAAAAAGAAGCAAAGCATGAATGCCAAAAGTAGTTGTAACATTTGAAAATGTGCGTATCACTTTCCCACAATCTGCGGCTGTGGGGCCCAAAATAAAGCAGAAAAAGAAGCACACATACATTTTCCGGAATAAAAATAAAAAATCATCAAATTCTGAGGGGAATTGAGAGTGCAGGAATTGAGAGTTAATCCGCGGATTAATTAGTTCCTCTGTCATCAAATGCAGTGAGAGTGCCAGAAATAAGCAAACACACAGAAGCAGCAAACCTTTGTGCAAAAGTTATCAAGTGTGAGTTTTTCAGGCAGATCATTTTTATCAATGTGCTCAACAGCTGGAGATTGGTACTATAAATGTACTGAAGATGCAAAAATAAATTTCTCAGCAAAGTGTTTAGGTTAGATTTTTTGTTCACATATTTGCTGCATTTTTTTCAAGACAGATGGAAGACATTTATAAAAATATTTAGACTCAACTAGATTTAAAAAATTAATTGAAATATTATAGATGTGTAGATATCCCTGTTTATAATTTTATCTCACCATTTCAACTGACCTCTACGGTAAAAACAATATGCATTTTTAAGTGATACGTTTCCTTTAAGGAAACACAATAGCTCTTTATGCATTGTGAAACTTTACTTGAGAAAAGACATGGTCACCTCTGAAGTCTGACTTCCTCAAATGATAAGAGGTCTAACTGGATGCCTTTTTCCTGAATGCTATTTCTGCAGATCTGACAATCAAGCACAGGAGCAACATCCATCCAGACAATGGAGAACATCTACGCCAATGAATCCATTGAAGATTTCCCTAAAGGTACACCAATGACCCTAGGAGGAAATAATGATTGGAGAAAAGAGCAAGGTGGATATATGGTTTTGTTTTTTTCAGCCAGTGTTAAATGTCAAATTGTGTTTGATTCCCATTTCTTTTTTGTTAAGGTTTAGAAAACTCTAAAAAGAGAGTTTATGTCGGTGTTATCATCATACTGGGGCTCCTCACTACTTTCCTGCTGGCTGGACTGATCTTCGTTCTTATCCGCTGTGAGTCTGGTTCTCCAAAATCAATGCCTTCATTCTTAACTGTCTTCATATAAACAGAATAAAGTCTGTGCTGCTTCCCTTTCATATCAAACTCTTCTTCCTCAAACATAACAATGTAAACTTATTTTTAAAGCAGAAAGCGTGATGTGCAGATTCCAGGCTGCAGACCTCACCAACAGGGATAGCCTACAGTCAGCATAGACCAGTATGAGATTCTCATAATGACGCTGAGGTGTATTGAAAGTTTTATAACTTGCCTCAAGCTAAGTGAAGAAATGAAGACACAGACTTAGATGATCCCAGGCAATCAAAGCCAATAGAAAAGTTTCCCCCAAAAAAGTACAGTCATTGTCACACAAACATATTTCCATTTTTGGCACCATTATGCATAGCCATATGTGTTCTCATCTTAACTTGTCTTTGAGTTGTTTGGTGCTATGTGTTCATGTTTTCTGATTTGTTTTGAAAGCTGCAATTTCTGTATCCTTGTTCTGTTTACTATTATGTATGTGCATGTTGTACTCTAGTTATCCACTGGGGGCACTGAGAGCGAGTTCTTTTGTGTAGGCAGCACCGTGCTGAAGAAGAAGCGGCA